GTTAGGTTAGGTTATGTTATGTTGTGTTATGTTATGTTGGGTTAGGGTGGGTTAGGTTAGGTTAGGTTAGGTTAGGTTAGGTAAAGTAGATAGATGCCGATAAGTAGGCGAGTAATGTTCATCTTTTCGATGGGTCGACATCCAGGCGGTAAAATTTGTACGGAATTGAAAGAGCTTAAGCAGCAGAAAGCGAAACAGAAGATTCGCCTCTAATGAGGCAATGTTTGCTGATTCGAGATTTATCGTCGTTTGAAGGCTCTGTAAGCAGTTCGCCTGCGCAGGTAGCCTACCCGACGCGCGAGTTTTCTGGACGCGTTCATGTCAGTGAGTGACTACGTATTTGTCTGTTGACGTTTGGTAGAAGCTCGAATGCAAGTGATTTATTATAATTGAAGTGACAGCGAACGAGAAGTGATGGCTGCTGTTTATGGCGCGTCGGAGGGATGGAATAAGTGTAGGAAGCCTTTGTCAAGGCTTGCGTGTTCAACAGATTAAGAATCCATTGCATCACGGGAAGTAAACACAGCGCAAATAAAAAATATCCCGTAAGGTAGTGTTTCCCAACCAGTGTTCCGCAAAATATTGTTCAGGAGTGGAATAAATGAATGAAAATTTTTAAACACCGCGAAATTTCCAAGTGTAGTGAACGTCTTATTCCAGTTTTCTGTGAACAAGCTTTCTCATGTTTGACAAACGACGAGGAAGGTCCGCGAGTGTGTTTTCTTTCAAAAATTCTGCAATGAATTCAACATTTGTACACAAAGAAACAAAGCCGTGGCTGATTGCACACTTCCTGTGTCCACGACCTGATCTTTACCAAATTTGTTTCGTTAGTCATGAAAGTAATTATTTTTTTCAAACACAACCAAGTTAAAACCCCCTCCCCCGTAAAGTAAACGATGGGACTCAGTTCGTGGCTTTGTACTTTAGTAGATCGATGTTCGATCCTCGCCCTGTGTCCGGAGCTGCGTTGAAGTAAACGAGAAGCGGTGTCCGGTCTTTCGGACTGGACATGACGGCGAATCGCCTGCGCTCTGATGCAGACTCTGACATCGCCGCGACCTCAAATCCCCGTAGTTCACGTTTCGCCAGCGTTTTTGAAGTCCTTCCACCGGGTTCCGAAGTCAGGCTTATGAGGGTTTCGCCTGTCCCATCGACTGTGCTGTCTCAGGACGATGTCCGCGGGGTTTCTTTCTCGTCTCAGCTTCGTGATCTCGCACGTGTTGCTGTTTCGAGTGAAAAGAATGGCGTTTCCAAAAGCGACGACTCTAGGCGTCTTCGAAGGAGAATATCAAGGAAGCAGACGTCGTCTTCATGCGTTGCTTATTTTGAATATTCTCCTTCAGCTTCTAAGCTTTTCTTACGTTATTCGTTCTGACCCTGGTTAAGGATAAGATGGCGGGCTGCAATAAACACGGAAATGGACCACGTGGTTCCATAAAGGACGGGGAATTTTCTGCACTGTGAAGTTGTTTGTTTGTTTGTTTGTACAGTACGTACCTTCGCAGTCTCTCGCTCTGACGATTTCGAAATTCGGAATACAGTTTTTATTAAGGTTAATGTTTCAATTTATTACTAAAATAACTAACTAATTAGATGGCTTATGGAACACGAAGGTTCATCACCGGACTAACCAAAGCCCTCCACCGGACCCTGTCCTGGGCCAACAAAATCCAGTCTCCTTCGACTCCTATCTCCCATAGATCCCGCCTGAGATTATCCTCCCATCTACGTCTAGGTCTCCCCAGCGGTCTCTTCCCCTCAGGCTTCCCAAATAGTGGAATCGTCTTCCCTCTTAGGCCCAAATATCCTCCTCAACTCCCGATTCTCAAACACCTGCAATCTGTGTTCCTCCCTCTGAGTGAGAGACCATGTTTCGCACCCATACAAAATAACAGGCAGAATTATCGTTTTATATATTTTCATCTTCAGGTTCTTAGAAATCAGACGGGAAGACAAAATATTTTGAACTGAGAAGTAGCGAGCATTTCCGGAATTTAGTCTCCTCCTAATTTCCTCACGAGTATTATTTTGATTTGTTGTTACTAAAAATTTTAACTTTGTATCGCTTTCAAAGGACTTATTAGCAGCCCTAAGATAATTTTGCCCGCCTGCTCGACATACATTGGTAGCCGAATTTGGAA